AATCATGCTGTCTTGCTAATTGTTTTATGAGGATTTCTTATAAGTCCTTGACACCAGCTTTCCCAAGTGCTTCTCTTTGGAATTCACATAGATGGGTGAACAGCTGTGTACACCTGTCTTCTGGGTCCCCCAAAGCTCACGCTGGTGTCAGTGGCAGTGAGAAGGAACATGACACCCATGACTTGATTGAAGAAAGTTGGAAAACCTGAAGATAGGTCTTGCAATGGTTTGCATACGGTTTCATTGTGCTCACAGTTAACAACTTGGTCTTCAGGGTGACCATACCAGGAGGTGACAGGACCTTTAAGAATAAAACCTAAGATGAGAACAGATACTGATAAGAACAGATACTACACTTGATCTTAGCCAAGAGGCCAAGAAGCAATAAGAAGTAAAACCTAAGCCAGGTGTGGTGGTGCACACCTGTAATCCCAGCACTCTACAGAGCTAAGGCAAGACCATCAAAAATTCAAACCCAACCTGGATAATTTAGCAAGACCCTGTCTCAAAATAAAAAAGGGCCTGGGCATATAGCTCAATGCAAAGGCCCTGGCTATAATCCCCAGCACCCCTCCTCCACATGTACACACAATTAATAGTGGATTTTATGAAGTGTGTCCTGGGGATTAACTGTGTGAAGTAATTGTAGGGGGGTGAAACATCAGCTTTGAAGTAGAAGAGCTGGATACACAGTGAGCTTTATAAAGATCTTGAAGAAGAACTGTGTCTTAGTTTTCTCTAGTTGCTGGGGAAAAAGACTTGATGTCAAAATCAACAAGAGCAAAAAAGAGGAGGACCAAACCTCTTTTCCTCCCTTACATTGTATGCAGGCTACCTGCCCTAGGGCAGGTGTAGCACTCACACCCCCAATCCCAGCACTAGACAATGAACCATTCACAAACTCTACATTCAGACGCCCCTGAAAAGCCCACACCCCATGACTGCATGAGTCTTTGGGGGAAAATGCAGACACAAACCATAACACACGGGAAAAATTTTTGTTCTTAAAATCAGATCTGTATTATGTTCCATGGGAAAAAAACCCTTACCTTTAGTTGAATAGTCTGTGGGATGGAAGTGGCAGTGGATTGAGAAATGGTCACCATTACCAGCCTGTAATTTAGCTACTCAAGAGGCTGAGGCAGGAGAATTTTGAGTTTGAGGCCAGCCTGAGAACTTAGCAAAACTCTGCCTCAAAATAGAAGGACAATTAAAAGTTAACCGTGCACCTGGACCAAAGATGAACCACAGTAGAGATTTCTGACCTTGATGAAGGATCCAATGCCCAGGCTTGGCAATGGGCAAGGCCCCAGAAAGCAGTGCAATCATCTGCATGTCCAGAATGCCCAGGTTCAATGTGTCGCCTACAGCCATCCTCACGGGTGCAGGAGGGGTACCTTTCCTGATGCCATTTTACAGATGGAGAGCTTTGGTCCTGGAGAGGGGCCTTGTGCCCAGTGGGTGCGGTTGCAGGGCTGGCTGGCTGCACCCTACCCTTTAGCTATCAACTGAGGGGTGTAGTGACAAACATACATGGTCCCAGCTACTTGAGAGCCTGAGGCAGGAAGGTCACTTGAGCCAGATCTTGGTGCCAGCCTGGGCAACATAGTGAAATGCCCTTCTTTTTTTTTTTCTTGCATTAAATACTGTTCTGATAAGGAATAATTGCTATACTAAAATAACATATGTTATTTTCTTTTTTTTAACTTCAAGGAAAAGAAAAATAAATAATAAAAACAATGGTATAAAACTTCAAAAAATATTATTTTCTTCAATGAGCTTTGGTCTGAGAAATAAAATCATCTTAGGATTTGAATCATGGCAAAGCTGGTTGTTCTCTGAAATCTAGGAACTGCATTAGCAAAACCACAGACCTAACCTCTCCACCACCATGCCTGTTTTAATTGGGAGAAATAAGACTGAACATTGTCTATGAAATGACTTGTGGAAGTCAAAAGCCACCTGGTCCAATTGCTCAGGCTAATGTTTCCAGAGCTATATTGAACACGCTAGAGATATCTGCTAAATTTATTTGTTCAAATGTTTAGTTCAGCTCTGATATTTCTCTATTGATTTTTTTTTTT